TTTGTACGCAATTCCACTATTCTTCTGCTATCCATAACTGCTTGACTTTTTTTTATTATTTCAAATTTGAATCCTAGTTTCTTTATCCAATTCTGAAGAGTTCTGTCACAGCAGCTCTCGTAATGGCCGGAATTATCCAATTTCTGTCTTATGATTTCATTTGTAGAAATCTCATTGCTTTTGTTACAGTCGTACATGGTGTTTTTCAATCATTCCATTAGATGAACATCTGAAGGTTTTGATAATCCCGTATCATATCGCGTCTTGCGCACAAGTTTGTTTTTGACTTTTTGCGTACAGTTGAGAAAGAAATTTTGATCAAATCTGATGTTGCTTGTAATAGTTTGTTTCCCTCGAAACCAAACTTGAAATGTAGATTCTTATATACATGAAACATATTCTGTGTTTCAATATTCCAAATCTTATTGACTGGTATCTCTTTTTCGCATTGTTCACCATCGCTATTGGAATCACTACACAGGAAAAAGTCTGCGTTGTCATGACACTCGTTATTATTATTAGAACTTGCCACATTTTAAACAGATAACAAAAATTTTGAGTAATTATAACTGCACCAATATCGAATTTCAACACTCAAATCGCGATCAGTTCCTGAACTAAACGTTGACTACACAACAGCGATACCCATCCCCACATTCTATTCGTCACCGTAACATGACTTCAAATTTGATTTTTTGACTCTTCAGCAAATCCTGAAACTCGGTTAGTAAAAATTATCCAATACTAACCGCCAATTCTTCAGTCAACGTGGACTAGTTGGCAGCGGCTTTATTTCTCTGTAATGGTTTTTTAGCCTTCGAGAACGCCAACAACTTCAACTATGCACAATACCGGTTACTTCGACTATAGTAACGGCTGCATCCATCAAATCATACTATGTAGAAACATTCTGAACTTTTTATTAGATTTTTTGTAAATATCCACAATGATTCAGAATTTTTTTTATCCGATTGTTATATGAACGCATTATTCAACAGAACTTGGTTTCATTACTAACAAAAGTGAGAGATATTCTTCAAGAAGGCTTTGTTAAAATTGTATTGAATACTTTCTAGTATCTGAAAGGGTTCGAATGTATTTCATCACCATTCTGTCGATATTCTCCCTACGGTTAACTTTTTATACAAAAATGAGAACCCTCGTTAACAGTTGAAACATTTATTAACACCGAAGTTTATTGCATAAATCGTTCTCCACTGCTTTATAAATTCACGCTTCGAATTCCGGAAAGTTTCTATTTCAAACTGGCGCGGCGCTTTGCCGAATACACAAGCAAACTTTTGTAAACTGGTAAACAGATTTTCAATCAATTCCAGTAGCTGTGCAGAGACGGTTCAGAAATATTTCCGATAATTAATTTTCAATCAACAGCAGAGAATGTTTGAAACTTTGATTTATAATTTTTCCAGCAAATATTCAGAACTGTCCATGGAAATGGGATTGTTCATAAATATTTACTATTTCACTGATTTGCTCAATTAAGTGATTCTAATGATATGTCGAACATTCATTTTCGAAGGAGTCTCCGCATTAGAAGTACTAATGCGGAGACATTAAACAGATTTTAAACATATGTTTAAAATCTGTTTTTCCGTTAATTAGCTGTCGCCCCTATACGAACGACAACTCTCAGAAGTTGAGAAACTTGTGCGAGCTAAGCACTAACGAGGTCTTACCTTTTGACGTGTGATTTCTATCACGGTTGCAGAATCATCCCAACTTCTTCATCAACATTATTCAATACCATCAACTGCGAACATTCAACAATTCATTTTTCGAAAAATGCAAAAAGGTAAATAAACTGTGCATGGAAACATATCGTAACAATCCTAACGTGGAATAATAATTTCTTCCTTACAATTTGCTGTCTTTGCCGTTCGAAGAACATCGAGTTTTTGGTTACCAAAAATGTAGACAGACATAATGTATCGTGTGAATTGTGGCGAAGTATTCAAAAGTCAAACAACTGAAATTATCTATTTCGGAATATATAATTCCCGAGAAGGTAGAAATGATAGAACCTCAGTTTGAACATGATAAATGTGGAAATTGATTTGCCAGAATGTGGATTGACATCTTTCTAGAAATATTTCTATCAAATTGTTGGCAACATTGTGGGAAACTAAATCAATGTGTAACTGATATTTTCAGAATAAACTCTTCAAAAAAGATCATGCAAAGAAGAAATTTTCAGGAACAAACTGGAAGGAAAATCCCTCTCGAAATTACTACTTTCATACAAACATACATACAAATTCATACAAATTAAACGAATGAAAGAGTATTTTCGAAACAACTACTTTTACATCAACATTCAATTATACAAAAAAACTTTTTTCTATTCAGTTCGTACTCGAAACATTATGAAATTGAATCAGATATCATTCACAGAATTGCCATACAATATAGTGTATGAAAGAAGTAGAATTTCACCTACATGGACATCCGACGTTTCGGAATGAGACACTTGCCTTATTCCCTCTTCAGCATCAATTTGAATAACATTACATTATATATAAATATACATAGAGGTTTCGTCCTCGGCCAAAGACTTTTTCAATTTAATTTCGTATAATTAAACTATAGTTTTATAATAACCTTATGAATGCATAGAAAAACAGTTAAATAATAACATCATCATAACAGACTCTTAGAGTGTCCTAGAAAAATTGAAACGATGTAAAATTTCATCAAAAATGGGCTATATCTCCTTAAGTATCAAAAACATGTTATTACAGGCAAAAAAAAAAAATTGAAATCACCTTTACATTGGTTCCTGGGCATGCAAATATTTCAGGAAATGGAAAGGTAGATTTATTAGCTAAATTCAGTACAACATTAAAAGTACCTAAAAATAGATAAAAAGACATTGTTGCCAATCTTCAAACAAAAAATGTTTACCAAATTCAGAGAACAGTGGAAAATTGATATAAAAACAAAAAGCATTACATATGGTAAAATTCATACTGAATATCCTGATAAATTATGGTATAATCAATTTCCATATTTAAGTAGAAGGCACATCACAACCATAATTAGGATGAAAACTGGGCATTGTTTAATAAAAAAACATTTATACAGAATTGAAATAAAATATAATCCATATCGTGAATGTGGACAAGAAGAAACTTTGGAACATATTTTCTTTGAATGTTCAATCAGAACTGTAGCAAACGTGGATATGTATTGTATGTTTATAGAATATGGAGTGGCTCCCCCCCTGAAGTTCATAAATATTTTGAGGAATATTATTTTAAAAATAATTAAATTAATTGATAATTTTCTAAGATTTAACAAAATTGAATTATGTAGAAAAAAAAAGAAAAAAGAGTAGAGGGAGAAATAATAAGAAAATAAATCATAATGTAAATAGACAAAGGTAAAATTGAAAACTATTGGAATTATTTAGGTATCTCATCTTTCAATCTTTCCATCCTGGGTTCTTTTTATCCGAGGCAGCTTTTCGGTTTGTGGTAATGCTTCACAGCTGCCCTGAAGCGAGAAGCGTCTATACCTGCTATAAATAACAGTCTTGCACAAAGAAGAATATGTTGAAGAAGAAATGGAAAAACAGAGAATATAAATAATATATTGAGAAGAAAAAAAATGAGGTACAATATTTTGTAAAGCAAGACTTTTGTACTCCCTGGACAAAGTTTTTATTATAGTTATTACTATAATAAAAAAGCACTGGTCATAATAGCGTCATTTCTGGAAGCTGGGACCAAAATTAAGAAGAAGAAGAAGAGCAAGAAGTACTAATGTCATCGATGACAGTACGTGACGACATTCATTCGCTTATTTGATTTAATCCCAGTCATAGGTATATTTTCAGGAGATATGAATTAAAAAAAAAATTTTTTACTTTCTACTTCTCCATCTCTATACAAAAATGTAACAATCTTCCAAAGGAAGAAAGGAAGTAATCAATTTCAAAAGATGTAACTCTATACATAGATGCGTAAGATCATGCAAAGAAGTAATTTTCAGACACAGACTGGAAGGACAATCCCCATGAAAACAACTTCTTTCATGTAAACGTTTTTTGTATGAAGATGGGGAAGTGGAAAGCCAAAACCTTCCTTCACCAAAAAGTTTTCTCTCCTTCAAATTTGCCATGAGTTTATCAATGTGTCTTTTTGGTTCGACTTTCTTCGTGAATGGTGTAGTTAATCGTCTAGATTAACATTACTGGGACAATAGCAATCCAAGTGTTATTATTGTATTGAACACACAAAACTCTAAGAAGATGAATGGTTGGTGGTCTGCTAATTTTTCTTCCTGGAAACTCAACAAGCGATAAATACTCAGCGTTACTCCAAAATACTTTGTACATTTTCAGCATCTATTTGATTATTACGGTATGTTTCTGTGTGAAAATCATAGAACTACTCTTTTAACGAATAGCTCTATGATTTTTACTCTACAAGGTCAAGAAAATTCCTACTGAACGACGCGTTTCTGTTCTGTGGATGTACACTTCCACACAAACCTCAAGAGAGTAATAATTTACGATTTGGCAACAACTATTACACTAACTTTCCAAATCTCTTTCTGAAACACAAATAAGTGGAGAATGCAATAATCACAAGAATATGCATTTTATGTTCCCCTGTCTGTGAAATGCAAACAATTAAAATGATTATCTTCTTCAATGTATTCGAAGAATCGACGTTATCGCCGAGACTGCACTTCATCCATCTCGTTGCACGTAGTCCGAAGCTTCCAAAGTTTGGTGCGATCGATGTCGGAGCGTAATGGCTATAAAGAGTGCGTACGAGAGACGCGTGCCATTGGCTGCGTTCTGTCGATACACCGCGCGCAGAATTCGGTCGCTTCGAAGGTTGCGTACGTCAGGTCTCTCTGCTCGGCGCTCAGCCACCCTACTTGTAACCCATAGCTACGCGGGTAGCTTACATCGACATCGCACCCGGCTCTGTGCGCTCTCGATACGCAGTTGTTTTGTGAGTGCAGCGCGCGAGACTTCGAATACAAAACGTTCGCTCTCTTTGCCGGTTTTTAGAGTTGTTAAGTTTTACGACGATTTCCATATGGTGCAAGTACTAGAGGTGGTCAGGTCGAATCCCTTCGACTTGTCCAATTCAGTAAGTAGTTTTATTTTGTGAGAAGTGGCATGTTTGCGGTTGAAAGTGATTGGACGAACTCTTTTCGGTGGTGATTTTAATACACAAACAAAGTAAACTATACCAACAAAGTTGAAGGGATATATGTCGATAAGATTTTCCTGATATCTTAGCATTCAAACTGATTAATTATCATTCATTATAATAATTATTGAATTTTCACAATAAATTGGTATCTATCCACAAGTCTCACTGATGAAGCTACTGTGCAGCAAAACACGTCTTAAATTACCTTTATTAATTGTAAAAACTCTAATTATTATCATGGACAATGTTTTAATTTTAATCAAGTGACGGGTCAGAGTATCTATGATTTCATTTATTATTGATTCATGTTATATTTGACAAAAGTCGTTTCAGAATTCTACATTGTTTGATATTTCTATCGAACGCTTACGAAACAGAATTCTTGAAAACTGTTTTTTTTTCGAAAGAGATTCAAGAAATTAAGCATACATGTACCTACTCCTATTATGTCAAAGTTTAGTAACCACCATAATTTAAACAAATTCCCAGAAATGAGAAAGACAAAGAAGGTTGTCAAATAGTTTTCGAGATGGAAAATCTACGTGAAAATATCATTTTATGACATGTTCTCTGTTTTGTCAAATTTTCTTTGATTCCATAATAACTGTCATATTATTTCATATTATTAGTTCAATTTGATTTCTTGGAAAAAGAAAAAATGTAGATACTTTGTGAATGTGTTGAATTCAATTAGAGACCATTCCTGCAATGGTAATAGAATACCCAGGATTTTCATTGAAATCATGATGTTATTATCACAAACAAACTGAAATTGAAAAAAAATACTGGCAGGTGCTCTAAAAATAATGTAAACTATCTAATAATAATTGTTAATCCATGATTTTGTCGGTAACACATTGACTTAAAATACCCAATTGAATAATTTTTCGGTAAAAAAACTTCTTTCATTATTCATTCAGTGATTTTGCTTTGTATAAAATTTTCTTTGTACGATTTTGATTTGAAGTATTTTGCATCAAATGTTACTTCGTTCCGTTTATTTCGGCCCAATGGTGAGAAGAGAGAAAAATGGCAATAGTAGGTCACCAAATGGTAAACGGTAACCAAATGACAACAATTACACAACAATTGTGATTTTTCAAATAACTGAGAAATAATAAAAAGCTACATTAAACTCGAAACATTTTTCATTCAAATTTGTGATCAAATCTGTCATTAAAAAGACTTTGTACTGAAATGTTCTTCTTGAAACTATTCATTTTGTGTCAGATGAATTACATATTCAACTAAAAAAATATTACATCAAACAATAATGAAGATTCAGAACAACAGTTAATCAATCAAAGTTAATACATTTGTAGCAGCTTTATATTCGAATCTTTTCGAAAAAGTATACTCTGTATACATTTTGAGTGCAGCACGCGAGTCCATGAACACATAAAAACAATGGTACCTAATGAAGAAAAGAAAAATGAAACTTTCTATTTTTTTACCATTTTTATTTGTAACTAATGTAACTGCAGTTTCGTCATATACTATACACTATATACAATACTATACAAACGTATACATTTTGTATAGGTTTGAAAATTTCCGTATAGGACGAAACTGCAGTATGGTTAGTTACAAATAAAAGTGGTGAAAAACATAGAAAGCTTCATTTCTCTTTTCTTCATTATGATTTTCTACCACGTAGTAACGGCTACATCCATCAATTTATGAAAAACAATGGTAATTATATATTAACGTACGATATAAACGTACGTACGATGTAAACGGATATGTCCCATCTTTTATTCCATTAATCATTGCTTTCAATGATAAACAGATACTTCGTTCGATATTTCTGTCATATTTTTTTGAAATAATATAATATAAAGAAATGAAAATCCTAAGTATGTGAAAGCAATTTAACGATTCTATAAAAACAACACAACTATATTTATCCACTGTATTTTATTCTCGGTTCCATTAAGCTTTCCTATGCTTTATTCATAATTAATGTATCATTTACAAAGGAAACATTTACCTGTCTGTTTATCAGTTCAATTCGATCTCTGAAAAACAAATGTATTCAAAAACCTTGCAATGGTAATAAAACTATATTCATTTAGAGGACAAATAACAAATTGGCATTTGCATTGAAATCCAAATCTTTTAATCATGCTTGATCTAAAATATTGAAAGTTCAGATATATTATACAAATGGAAAGGACAGATAATTTTAGGGCAGTTTAGTTTACTTGAGGAAAATAGGTTTTTTGGTAATTTGATTCAAAACAAAATATTAAGATAGAATTCATTCTGAACTTCATTGTTTTTTTTTTCATTTCATCGGAAGTTTCCCACATTGTTTGGTATTTAGATGGATGAGTATGAAACCAAAAACCTTATTTTCCATAAACAAATTGTACCTGCTCCTATGTGAAAGCAAGTCAATGAGCACAACGCAAATATATTTTACAATATATAGGACATTATTTTACTAGATTTCAAATAGACAAACTCGCTGAAACAGAGAATGACAAAGAACTGGGGTTTTTCGAAATAAAAAATTCATTTGAAAATATTATATCTATTGTTAGACAAATTTTTTCATGTTTGTTTCGCAATCAACATCATATGATCACAAAAAAATCATATTTACCTGTTATTTGTTCAGTTCATTTCAATCTGTAGATATGTTTGTTCATTTATCAATTATATTGAATATTTCTATTGGTAAATTTCCGAAATATATTGGACATCTTTGATTGTGGCAAGTGAATCAACTGTAAGTAACTGTTTTTCATTTATAACATACCTATACATGTCTTCATCAAGTGAAAAAACTAATTGATAGAGTTTATTGTAAGATTTTCACTATAAATGTTTTTACAAATACCGCGACACGTGTTTCGTTATATAATATTTTTCTCAAACGTGTTTCGCTATACAATAGCTTTCTTAGGCGTAAAACATTTTACAAAAACTCATTAATACAGTTAATTGTATGATTTTCACTATAAAGAGTTTGACGGAAACCGCGACACGTGTTTCGCTATACAATATATTTCTCAAGCCTAAAATATTATATACTGATTAGCTATTGTTTGGCGAAACACGTGCCGCGGTTGTTGTAAAACCCTTTATAGTGAAAATCACACAATAAACTGTATTAATAAGTTTAATATAGATTTTCATCAAGTTTCGGCCAGTTCCATCCAATTATTCATCAGATTGCCTTTGAAACTCAAATGAGCGACCATGTAATATTTTTTTCGTAAAAATCAATGTTCATTTCAATTCAAAATATTTTGCATCGAATTTCACTCACTTCAAGTTAATTCATTCTTTGAAATTTCTTCAATGTATATGACGAAAATTCATTGAAACTGAACCAGGTACGTTGATTATTTTTTCAAAACTGTGAACTTTCATATAACTGAAAATGATGAACAGTGATTTCGAACCCAAAATGATTTCGTATCTATTTCTTGTATATATCATCAAATCGACAATTTCAGTTTGGTGAACATATCAAAAAATATTTTATATGTATAGTAAATTATCAACTACAGATTCACTAAAAATAAAGCCAGTCCTCAAGTATGCCCACTGACTATATGTGAAAAGTTTTCTTGCCTTATACGAGGAATTGGGCAAATTTCGGATATACAGTTGGTTACCTCGTTCACAGGCAGATGGGGCGACGACAAACCTGTTGTTTGTTGTAGTCTTCAGCTTAGTTCGAGGAATGATACTCTGACGGAATTCGATTTTCAATTATCGGAAATCATCGACTTTATGTTGATGATGTACATTACCTTGCACTGACGAGTGGCCAAACAGCCCGAAACCGGTCTGCAAGTGTGTTCCAATAATTGAAAATCTATGTCGGCAGTTGTATCGCCAACATCATATGCAGGAATAACTTCTGTGAAGAATCCTGCACTGACACCTGACAACGCCCTTCGTGGTATTAGCCAGAGAAGTAGTTGTTTTCTGATAGGTGTCAGTCCATTAACCTACTGTGTAGGGAGTTGAGACTGGCCTGAACGAATTGTTCTTTTAGATAATTCGATATAATTTTATCCCATTCATCAAAATGAAGTTATCATTGATAGAAATAGGGTATACAATATCTAGCAGGTTTTTATTCGATACTTTTTAACAAAAATATGAATCAGATTCTTACGCGTAAACGCTTTACAACGTAACATATCAAAGAGCATTATTATGATTTTTCACAAAGTAACTTTTCAATCTCCAAGCAGAACTTCTAGATGTTTCTGGGTAAAACACTGGCGATGATGAGCCACATAGATATCGTAATCTCGATGTATTTCTGAAAACTGCTCAACAATATCTGAAATGAATATATTAAATTTGCATCTATTTCCAACAACTCATTCACTCGCCTATGCAAAAAAACGAAATTTCAACCATGTCCGTTAATGGCTCGCAAAAAGCCCGAAACATCGTGTATATTGGAGCAATAAATATATTTCACACTTTTGTCATTTCCGTGGTATCTGTTTGGTTTTTACCGCCTATAGTGCTCGCTAACACATGTTGGTTTCCCAACGGTTCGGTATGCTCGCTCGCACATGTTTCTGTTTTGTTTATGTTCGAACGTGTAATAATATTCTGTACGTGTGCTGCACATGCCGATATATTTTTTATTGAATTCGCCTTTCGTCGGAACAAATGGGTTCCGAAAAGCCGGATTTATTTTTAAGCTTCAGCATAAATAATGTTCCCGAAATATGTTTTAATGGAAATAGGACGTTACTTTTTTCGGGGTGAGTTTAATCTGGATTAACAGCCACTCTGAAAATTTTTCTTTCAATAATTGATTTTTCCTGATGCCTTGTTTGTCGAGATGAGAAATATCTGTTGGTGAAAGGAAAAAAGGAGTTCTGAGCAGAACGTTCCACCTGTTTCATTTCCTTCTCCAAGACCAATTTATTTTTTCAAGATCCACTAGTGTA